TTCGTTTCGTCTATCTCTTAGCTAGTTCTATCGGTCTTTAGCCATCAGCATGATGGTGAACGCATTACTTCCTGGAAAGGAAAATAGCGCGTTCGTTCCCCAACGCAGACACCTGCTGTCCGGAGTTTTGCAAATTTCTCAGCATCATTAAAGCTATATTTCGCAATATATACCCTGGCGTTAAAAAGAGTCGGCAGTGAATAATAAGTTAAAAATGAGTGAAGTCTGGCGGTCGAATCGATTTTCAATATAATATCTGCATGCACGAACATACTCACATATGGAAACCGTTACGCATTCACAGGTATCTGTCAATCCGACTCCACTGAGATATGAACTCACCGGTTCAATCCACACGTCAACTTAAGTCTGCATTAAATCTCTTCTCCTACACTAATCATTGTTAAAGTGGGCGAATAGCACAGCGGTAGTTACGTCGATGAACACGAGCACAGTGATAGTTCGATCCCACTCCACTCTCATCATGCACCCGATCTCAGAGGGATGCTCTCTTATTCTGAAAATGGTACCGAGCTTGTCCGGAAAGGATTCACTCTCTGCAGTCCAAATGTGAACGCTCTACCTCGACTGTATCTGGATTCCAGAAAGAATCGGCTCGACCAGCATCCCATATCATTCNGCTTCAAATATTAAAATCTCATTTAAGGATTTCATAACAAAATTTTCTAACAATTCCCTGTTGTTGTTGTTGTGAAATAGTAAATCAGACGTGAAAGCCGTGAACAAATACTTTGCTGTTTGAGGGAATTACGATAGAAAAGTGCAAGCGAAAAGCGCTGCCTGACGACTATCTGGCACACGGTTCCTTTAATGACTGGAATTCGTCGAAATAAATTTTTCATCTGATGAGTCAATCAGTTAAAAACCAGCTTAAACATCTTGGACAGCGGATTAAATTTCTTTGCTACTTCCTATTAGACTGAATGAATCTTATTTGACAGCTTCAGGAGCCACTGGTACTTTGGACTTATCGTTGTTGGTCCTGCTTGGCGATGTTCGAGACAATAGAAGAGTGTGCAATGCATAGGTAAGCCAACATGGTTTTTAGATAACATGGATATTTTCAAAAAAACAATGAGTCAAGAGATACGATGAACCAATGATTCGCATGAAGTTGAAGCAAGTAAAACCTCTGAATTTAGGAGGCATAAACATCGTGATGGAAGCAGCTAGTCATCTGGAAGGAGATCGTTGAATGACTATATTTAATAAAGTTATTTCTTTGTAGCTGCAAAAAATATCACTGAAACTGGTAGATTTTGGCAAATGCAGTACTCTATAAATCATAATCAGTGACGGTTATGGATGTGGAAGAGGGGACTACAAGATAACAGAGATAGAGCTCGCATCAAATAATGAAATGAATTGTTGAGCAGCTGTATTAAATAAGTATTATGTGGCGCATGAAACAGTAAAATGAGAAGTCGTAAGTGTTTCAGTTGCAGCGTTCGGACGAAATTCGTTGGAATACTATTTTGAGAAACCAACTGCAGAGCGCTTCCCCTTTGTGTATTTACCAAGTTGGATAGCAATTGGCCAAGCAATCTGTTTGAACTGAACTCTCTTTCATAGAGAAAACAAGGTTCTAGTAAAGAATCCTAATAATTCCATGCAATTAAAAAACTCCATCAATTGATTTTCTAACATCCTGTTCGAGGGAACAGGTAGCAGACTTCCATTCCCTTCTTTTCGCCTTTCTCTCAGCAGTGCGGGCCACCGGAAAGGTTGATAACGGGTTCGATTCGCATCGCAAACTTTTGTGCTACGCAGTTTTGCAAATACTTCGGCGTCATTGTCGTTAAGCAGTGACATTTATAACAGGTAACAGATGTATGTGTAGATAGAGTGTGTGCAA